GATTCATTGCATCCATCAAACAACACCAATCCCATGATTCATTGCATCCATCAAACAACACCAATCCCATGATTCATTGCATCCATCAAACAACACCAATCCCATGATTCATTGCATCCCAAGTTTGTTCCTGGGAGGCAAGTTAGCAAGACTACTCTTACCAAGACCACAAGTACGATCTTTGCATTCTTGGTACTGAGAAACACCCCAAACGCCTTTGGGACAATCGCAAAGGAGGGGCAAATGCAAAGCTGCGATATAAAGATTAACTATGGCAATGTTACTATCACGTATTCAGGTAGGAAAAATATTTCAGTCATGGTGGTTGCAATATGTCAGCCAAATGTAAAATGCATGTTGAGATTATTTTATCTGAAACCTCATCATAAAAGAATAATCTCAAATGACAATGTTCAGGTGAAACTGACGTGTGTGTATTTAAATTAATATTAAATTACAGAGCACTGCTTCTAACCAGTGAGCCATGACAGCTCCAGACTGACTTTTTTTGTTGTGTCATTGTATCGTTCTGATTGTGCTTCCAATCTGGTTACTGCAGGATTATTAGTCGCAATACCAGTAATATCCTTGGGCACTTTAAATTTCAGTAGAAATACCCATCTGTATATAGGTGTAAAGACTGTCATGTAAAAATACCAACATTTAAAAATACCTACAACTGTGTTTGCTTCCCTCAACCTGAAACGGGAAAACATACTACGCCGCTTTGGGTAGAAATACTAGCTTCTTTCAAAATATTGTTTTATACACAAAATTAATCAGGTTACTGTCAAATTCTGACTATCCATTCAGTCAGCCAGCCGTCTTTAAACTATTTGTAAATAGTTTTTGGGGATTTCCTACTAGCTCTCGTTAAAATATCAAGACCCGCTTTTTAGGTCTGCATAGCTTGAGGGGTGATGTCAGAGGACATTTTCGCTTTTACACATTACGCAATTTTTATATAGTACAGTGCACAGACAATACAATATAATACAAAAACAATACAATATACAGACAATCCAGCACAATAACCAGAAAAGTAGATCATCTATTCACATTTTCTAGATCAAATACATTATCTATCCTGGAATACAAAGTCTAGAATTTTAAATGTAAATTCATTCCATATCAATAATAAAAAATACATTTACAGAAGGATAATTATTATAACAAACTCATTGGACCAAGATATGCTGATTAAGCAAATGACTTGGTAATGAAGAAAAAGGTTTGGTGAATAATTATAAATGTGTTACGATATACCAGTGACATTAAGGGAGGGTGATGCATGGGCTATTTTTAGCATGAGCCTCAGTGATTAAGACACGTCAGCTTACAGATGTGGTGAATCATTATACAGTTAATGAATCATTTCACCGTGTTCTCAAAAGAGAATGGAACCTGTCCAAACAATTATGCCTCGAGTGTGGTAGTCCACTGATTTGATGGCCACGACACTGACGGTATCTACACCATGACATTCTCAGCTGGTATATTTGAACGCTACAGAAATATTATGGGATGGTCACAAGTGTGTTATTCACTGCCACCAGTCAGGCGTGACCTGGTTTTGGTTTCTCATGGGAGAGTACTGCATACCTTGTGCAGGATTTTATAAAGTTATAGCCACATAAAACATAAAGACACAAAATGCAAAATGTTGATTATAAGATGAGAATTCTCCATGTTAGTACAAAGTTACAGTGCTTATCCAGTAGAGGTTTCAAAAAAGTACAGAATCCGTCCCAAGAAGCACCGGGCACAAGGCATGCATGTCCTCAGTAGATTTCCTGGGCAAGGCAATCTGGTGGTGTGGTTGTTAGCAATGTTGCTTCATACCTCTGGGATCAGGGTTCGAGTCTCTGCTACAGCACTGTGTGTGGAGTTTGCATGTTCTTCCTATCTTCCTTTCCTCTGGGTACTCTGGTCCCCCCCCCCACAGGTGTGAGTATACCCTGCAATGGGCTGATGTACTACCCTTGTGTCCATAGCTTCTGGGACAGGCTCCAGATCTGCATGACCCTGAATAGGACAAGTGTGTATAGAACATGGATGAATAGATGGGTTTTCAGGACATACATAGAAAGCCCTGAGCCAATATGGCATAGTGCTGCGCACTCAAACCGACTGAATATACAGTATTTATAGTAGTTTGTATTAAATCATAATGACAATGATCCCCAAAGCTTTTAAAAATCCTTATGATACTACAACTTGTAAAGTAGGCAAAGAACAGAAAAAAATAACTCTCATTTTGCTTGGAGAATGTAACATTTTATTCAGTTTAATTTAAATGACGTTAAAGAGGCATTTTTAAATAATCATTACGATGCCGTGCCTTTTTCTGCTGTGCTGCACTTTAGGGCAAAGAGCCAGTGGAGATGCATTTTATTTGTGAAGTGGACAACATCCCGATGAAAACAAGGCATTGTTAGTTGGTTAGTTGAGAAGAATCACGTGCGAGTACCATGGGAACAGCCAGCCCCATTGCCATGGCTCATTCCCCAACACTCGTCTTTTGGCTGGCAGCCACATAGCCTGGCCTACCGAGCACAGTAATGAGGTAATTGACTGCTCAAACACATGCCTCTTCAGCAGCTACTTAGTAAATAAACCTGCAAGTAGAGCCTGTCACGTTCTATAAGATCGTCCTCTCACTTTCTGATCGAGTGACCTCATGCTATCATGAAGTATTTTATCTTCCAGGCTTCATCTTACAACATAAATAAACCGCAATCTTCCTGTATCAAAACTGCGGAGGGAAAAAAAAAAGAAGCAATCGGAAAAGGAAGTTTGAGGTTAATGACTGGCCCCAGAAATGTCAGTTGCAAATTTGATGCTGATCTTAAAAACCAGTTCATGTTTCCAATAAATGAAGTTATATATATATATATATATATATATTATATATATATATAATTCATAACTAATTGTTTTGAAGTTCATGTTAAGGAAAGGAAAATATGGGGAGATATTAATAAATCTTATACGATATATATTTATCTCACCGAAAAGAAGTTGTAATTTTGTGTCCCACAATTCATTTCTGTTTTGAAACTTGAACATATACCATGTAAAATAGATTCCAGTTTAATGTTCATTATCTTAGTGTAAATCTACTAGTATGCATCGGTTGTAATCATGTGATTTGATGTCAATAAAACATGAGTTTTTTTTTTTGTTATGAAAGTGCTCCAGTGGAAAACTTGTATATCCTTCTTTCGAAGATACAATCATTACCAGGCTTCCAGTACTTATGCGGCATGATAAGACGGCATGTGCTCTGTTTTTCTGTGGTGCTATTCAGCCAAAAAAGAGGGCTCAACCAACGCCACGCCCTTCTGCGGCGTGTCACCATGCTGATTGTTTGCTGTGGCCTGCCTGTCACCACTTTCCCATTATTTAACCAGAAAAGGCAGCTGTGTACTCTACACCACCTAAGTCCCTTATGATAGTGGCTGTCGAGCAGAAAATTAGTTAGTAGCAAAGAAACCCCATTTGGGAGCAGTAGGAGAAAATAACATAGGCAGTGGTTTCTTTCAGGAGTAGAAGACTGTAGGTGGAGGGCTGGCCATGGATGATGTCATCGTGACAATTTAAGTGGGGGTCAAAGCTAATCATTTGTAGGAGCCCTGCTGTCTGCACACTGGCTACACATATCCAGTCTACAAACCAGTAGCCTGTACTACGAAGCAGGGTTACTGGCTTATTGGGGTAACTTGTCGGATTTAAGGTACCACAATTTAAATGGACTTCGTTCACTTACATTTTTCCCGGACTACCTTAAATCTGACAAGTTACCCCGATAAGCCAGTAACCCTGCTTCGTAGTACAGGCCCCTGGTCTTCTGTTGCTATCGCTCACTCGTGGCTCCTCAAAGCACACCTGACCTCAAGATTAACTGTTCTACAATTTCCCCTGAGGAATGGTGCCAAAACCTGGTCACGGAGATCTGTTGTGTATCTTGGCGTTTGTATACAGCAATTATTTAATGGTTTAGGGCTCACTTAACCCTTTTGATTGCTGTGGGTACCAACAACAATTGATGGATAATTCTAGCCGAGAAAAAAAAGACAAACAACAATGGAAAACCTTGCCAAAAAAACAACAGGAAGAAGATCTTCTTGGATCAGTCAAATTTCATGGGTAATTTACAAATGCTAATTAGCTTAACTGCATGCCTTTGAAATGTACAAGAGAAGCGAAGTCTTCAGAGCAAATGCAACATGTGGAGATGCAAAGCAGATGCAACTTGAACCACCAACCCTGCAGCTATGGTGCAACAATGCTGCCCACTGAGCCATCGCACCACCCATATAGGAAAATACATGTGATATAAAAATATTTTTTCCATTTATGAGTAAACTCATAGCACTATGTGAAATGTGCTTTTTGACATAATGGGTGTATGCCCATTGATGATGCACATTCCGTGTAATATAAAAATGCACTGTTTTTCTAAGCAGAAACTGTTTTTGCTGTAAACTTGATGTATATATGTTTGGGAACATTCACAAAATAGTGCTATAGTGGATAGAATGGTTACCTACCACCTCTGGAGACCAGTGTATGAAGATTGCATGTTTGTCTTCAGGCCCTCGTGGGGTTCCCTCTAAGGTCCTCCAGTTTCCCCTCACAGTCCGAAGACCAGTTGGGATGAACTGGAGTTGTTGTTTTGTGACGGGTGTGCGTGTGCCCTGCCGAGAGGCGGTGCCCCCTCAGTCCACCTACACTGCATGTCTTTGGAATGTGAGGAGGAATTAGAAAACCCAGTGCAGTATTTCCCAGCCTGGGCCTCAGGGACCCCCAGAGAGTCCACCTGCTGGGAGCTGGGAGGGAGCAAAAATGTGGACCGGCTGGGGGTCCGGTAGGACCGGGTTGGGAAACACTGACCTAGAGGAAACCTGTACAGATAGGAGGAAACTCCATACACAAAGTGCTAGGCACAGGTTTTGAGTACAAAACCTTGGAAGGGCCCTTAATGGCTAAAAGTATGTGGACACCAGCTTATCCAACATCTCATTCCAATACCAAGGATATTAATATGAAGTTGGTCGGCCTATTGCTCCTTTAATAGCCTCTACTCTTCTGGGAAGGCTTTCCTTTAGATGCTGAAACATTACTGGTGGGATTTGCTGCCATTCAGGTTGAGTATTGATGTTGGGTCATCAGGTGTGTTTCTGTGGAATTGTGTGGCCTACGATCTTTACAATTGCTTCACTTGCAGATGACAGCTCTAGCAGAGCAGAAACGGGGCAAACTGACTCATCTAGAAGGATGGAACCCTATGATGGTGTGGAGTGGAAAGTCCGTGAACTTCTTCTGTATAACTTCCCAATCTGCTGCTGAAGTTCATTGCAGGAGATTGTGTGACTGTACGCTTAATTATACACCGGTGGTAGGAATGGGTGTGGCTTCATTAGGAAATTCCTCTAAGGGGTGTCCACATACTTTTAGCCAGATAGGTATGAAACCAAAGTACAACCCAACTGCACCACCTAATAATGCGTACATAACGGTTTGGTATAACAAGGTAAATACCATATCATTATATGCACAAATACACAAAAAATGCTTTTTAACTGTACAAACAATCCAGAAATGCCATGATGTATCTCATAAGAACTGCTCAGATACAACTGATTTGGTCTTCAGGCCAAAATAAAAATACCTTCTGCTAGAGGACCCCTGGCCTAGAGATGAGCACCACTGAAAGTGTTAGGGAATTAGGAGAGAGAAAGGATAATAGGTGGAGACGGCCTGTTCATAACGCTGAGCAGTGCCTTGTCAAGAAAGTAGGCGTTATGTTATATGGCCCTTTGTGTTTTCACTTGTTGAGTGCGCAAACAATGCAGGGCACACTTCATGTCACATGACCAATGGGTGACATCACCACTGGCTGGACCCATGTAGCTGGATTTGGTGACTGCTCTGACTGAAAGCGGTACCACCAGCACATCACTGAGCAGTTCTCAGGTGTGCTCAGGTGAAATTACAGTGCTGAATCCGGGCGTCGCTCTATTTTTATTTTTTTTTTTAATAATCAGGCTCAAACATTTAAAAAACACATTTACCATTTTTAACTAAACAAGTATAATTAATGTGTCAAACATATACATAATTAAAAAGGGAAATTCTCTGTAATTTAATTTATTGGTTTGGGTTGTCATATATTACAGAATAACAACACCATGGGCTACGCGCAGTTTCGGTGAAACCTTCATAGTAACTAGTCAGAGTGTGTATACTATTTTATAGGTAGGCCAACACGATCAGATACTCGCCCAGGCATGTACACGAGCGGGGATTTCCCACTTAAATAGAAGACATCGCCAATTGTCCAGGGTTTCCTCGATAAGCTGTCACTTCCATCTGATTAGGCAGGGAAACAAAAGCCGCAAAACAAGAGACATCTGTGACCACAACAGAGAGAGTCACGTGCTGCAGTGCAAAGGTCAATCAGACACCAAAAAATTCCCAGTGGCAAAATGAATAACTAGCACTTGCAACTGAATTGCATTAAACTAAACCTAGATGCATTACAATGCCATGTATGTGTATAGAAAGTTTACTATAATAACCGATCAGGTAGGTTCTTGCAGATTTGGTAACTCCTAAATTTTATCAGATGTAATAGTGTTCTGTCACCAGATATATGTTAAATAAAAGATTAATCATAGTGTGTTTGTCGAAATTCAGAATATGTATAAGTATACCCGTTTAAGTAATAAAATGATAATTAATTATATAACGTCACATGCACACGGAAATTAAACACGACTGGTATATATAAAATATGCCTTTCATATGGGTTTTTGTGGCTGGAGTGTGGTCTATGAAAAATAGAAAATCAATGACTTTTTAAAAACAAACTATACGTCTTTTACCGTCTTAAATGTACAAACACAAAAACTTATAACACGAGTAACTTTTTACAAGCACAACACCGAAGGGCAGCAGGCAATTTGATGCATGTGCTGCACTGACGAATAATAACTTTTCGTCAATGCAACATCTTATTACTGTGTCAGTGCAAACGTACCTTTTTCACGCTTAGTTAACAATGCATTAACCGCTGACCATAATGCGTATTTCATTTTGTCGTTAAAGTGTATGGTAATGCGCGGCGATCGTTGACATGTTGGGATTAATATTAGACAGAAACACTCGCAGTAGCGTAAGAGCTGATGTTTACACACCAGGCTGCGCTGCACCGCGGGTTCCAAGAGTAATATCGGGGGAGGAGGAAGGGCGCAGTGTGGGAGCGCAGCCCTCCTGTCTGGCGGACAGTTGGAGCGCAGGGTCGCCCCGTCGTCACTCGCCGAAGTGCATGTCAGGACTTGTTGTCAGACAGGAGGAGGGCGTGGCGTACGACTCCCAGCCGCGGGAGTGAAAGCCGAGCAGGGCGCAAGTGTGCTGCATTCTTCTTTGTAATCTGCTGCAGGATCGCACACTTCTGTGACTCTGGAGAAAAACTAGCGTTTTTTTCCCTCTCTTCCCCTCCCTCCGTGTTCAGCGTTTTATGCGAGCGCTCATGACATCATTTGCTTTGGCCGCTGCCATATTTTTACAGTAACAATAAGTTGGCGGGATGACACGCGGGCAGGCTTTCGGCGAGCGAGGGCACTGAGCCTGCGACGAGGCGTCTTCTGATGACAAATAGGAACCGACATCGCTTGAGCATTTACTGCCAGCCGGTGATTACGAAGCGACAAGAAAGTCAAGTAAGTGCAAGCTTGAAATTGTCACGGCCAACAATTGTATTATAATGCATCTGGAAGCAATCGATCGCCAACAATGTCAATTTCACTTTTGGCACTTATCTAATAAGTCAACTAATTGTAGTAGCTCTGCATTAATTTGGTACTGTTCGATGCCTTGTCCGATCTTATTCTGAGTTTGCTGGATCTGAAATAATGAATCACTTGTGCTGGTGCCGTCCGGCGTCGAGTGTACTCTCTCTTTATTGATTTGGCTCAAACTGACTGCAGATTGTGTTCGATGGGACTCGGAGACGCTGCTTGTCTCTTCTCATAACTACGTCAAAATGCATTTTCATTGTCGGAAGCCGTATCATTAGTTTGAATTACGGAGCTCCGCAGGCTTCGACATTCAGCCCGGCTGAATGACCACAGAAGTGTCACGGCGTAAATACGGTTTTCATACCTTTGAATAAGATACCTTTGATTCGGTTTTGGGGCATAAACCTTATCATGTGTTTATAGTTTCATATTTATGAAATCCATTTAGTTTATTGCCTGTTACTTGTCTTATGCTGTGTATGATGAGTCTTGATTACGTAGGCGATACTATTGATCGTTCGATTCTAAGGCCGTTTAGTGCATTTCAGTTTTCATAGTAATACATTTCTTTATAGCAGAGTATATTTTATAACTTGCGGTATTTTTGTGACATTTTCCAACATGGAAACCATTGCAGTAGTAGCATGGTACATTTAACCCCATTAAGAGTAGAAACCACACGTTAGAAGGTCATTATAATCCACAAACTTGACAAAAGCGTTAGCCATTGTCGTGGGCAAGACAACAGACCATTTTTTTGTGGTTTGCACAAGTTCCGACGTATGAAAAAAACATCACGTTTTTTTTAGGATTCAAGGGTACCGCAGTCTTCTGCACCTCCAAAGAACAGAATGTTACTAAATTTCCAGCCTCAAAGATTTTCCATAACGCGTTAAAAATTACATTAACTTAATTTTACAGTAATGTGTAGTGTTTTTCCTAATTTTTAAAACATATTTATGCAAAAGGAATAAATAGCTGCAGTTTACCGGTTTTATCAGGGTTAAAATATGAGAAGTAGGCATTCCGTCTGTGAAGCTTGTTATTGTGTTTCCTGGTTAAACGTCTGCGTGCGAGGCGCTTCACTTCTGCTACCGATTTGTTTACAAACAGTTCGCAGCACACGAGGGCGCCCTTTGCCGCCATCTAGCGGCCAGGGATAATATAACACGCTGGATCAAACTTATACCCACCTACCCCCACCCCCTTATCATAGTCAGGGTCACGGGGGGAGCAGCCGGGGGGAGGGAACCTGGAGTCCATTCCAGGCAGCATAGGGCACAAGGCTGGGGTTCACGCTGGATGGGACTCTAGTTCATTGCAAAACACCCTGGAATTATGAGGCAACAATGCTATTCACTGAGCTATTGTGCCACCCTATAAATGAAATGTTATTTAAAATTTTGAAAATTTTCATTAATATTCAATAATGTGCCCCCTTGATAACTAATAAATTAATGAATAACAAAATAAATCGTTCCTTTATATTATAAAATGCAGAGGAAATCAATTAGCTGCAGTTGGATATTCCCTGGGAGATTGTTTATATATGCTGAGCAGTAGTTACAATATAAAATAGATATTAAAATTCACCTTCGCTTAGGTGCGACCAAACAACGCCACGTTCCTTCGGCGTTCGCCAGGCGGAGACACCCCGCAACTTTTTCCCTGCGTCGCATTTAATTCTGTCTCGCATTATAAAATGTGCACCTGGTCAGATTTACGGAGGAAGTCCCTGTATGCATGGTTGAGCGTGCATTGATATTTACAGTGTATGTCTGCTTTCTCCGCAGTCTAAACCTGGTATGGCTCGGGCCCAGACCAACGGAGGCAGAGACGACAGTCAGCAAGGGGGTCCTCAGAGGTGCCGCATGGAGGCTCTGCAGCCAGAGGCCTGGCTCACATGCAGCCTCCACTGCCTGCAGCCAGGCCGCCGACCTTGCTGCCAATGGCGCGTCAGGACCACCCCCTCCACCCCCGCACCGGTTTGTCCACCACAGGAACCTATGGCCAGTACGTCCCCCTCGGACATCACAGACAGCGTAATCCCTCAGAGGACAGGTAAGGCGCTTGTCGATGGGATATTAGATCAGTATATCCAGGGAGAAAATTGGGTGTGAGAAAATGCACGATTGGGCGTTGAGAGTAGAGAGCTGGACTAACGGGTCAGATTCAGAACCAATAGGATTTCATTTTGCAGGATTAAATGTAAAATAGTTTATTGGATAAGCCCCAAGGCTTCACATCGCAGCTTTTGAATATGTTGCTGCGGTAGCCTGGACTACGATGCCTTATTGCCTTACAGTCCTTGGAAATTCATGCAGCGGTAGGCAGTGCAGTGTACGTAGAACAGGATTATGAAATGAAATACTGCTTAAAAAATGTCACAAAATAGGGAAAAAGGAATGCAGATTCGAATCTGCTGTGACACTCTAATCGCTGTGCTGTTTTATTCCTGCAGTTCACTACCAGCAATTTGATATATAAGCTAGCTGTGTTAGGGTTTTGAAGCAAACCTGCAATAGGCCCTTATATACATATCAAGCATAAATTTCGCTTAAAAGCTCATTTGACTACATTTGTGATCAACAAGCATGCAGAATTGCTTTGTATAGTGCTGCTTTAGATATGCAGCTATTGTGTGATATTGACTGTTAGATAAGATAAGGCTTTAGTGATCCCACACTTAACTTAACTTGAATGGCAGTCGAAAAAGACAAACCAAAAGACACTATAACAAAATAGAAATACATAAGAAAGAAATTATGAAAAATCTGTGCATACAATTACACATATTGCACATATGACGTGGGTAGTGGCATAGATGAATATATATATACAGATATTGTACCACGTGCTAGTTTTTAACAGTATTATAGTGTCATGCTGTTATTTTCATGAGTTCAGCTGTTGGCGGGTTACATGCTTGTATCTGAGCATTATGGAACCTCCTTGATGAAGACAGCTGGACTGCCAACGTGTTGGCAAATAGATGCAAGAATAACATGGTATGTGGAGTGTGTAGGTGTGCCTATGTGGGCTTACTGATTGACCATGGGAGGCAAAGGCCATTTGCACTGGGACTCTGATGTGCATGTCAAGGGAAGGGGGGTGTTTGCTGTTTGGGCTGGGAGACGCCACCCCAAAGCAGTCCTTAGACAGCTGAATGAGGAATGGTGCGAGTGTTTACTAAGACTCTGCAGTGTCCAGAGCTCAGATTTTGCCTCCTTCTGTGGCAGCCATTGAAGAGCTATGATCTGGGCATGTCAAGACTTGTCTCTGTCTACAACATCCCATAGAGAACACATGGTTTTCTTATATGGCTGCTTTGAGATGCTCAATCTGCTCCAATTTCTTCCTTTCTTCTCTTTCATCGCTTCTCATTTACTGTTTTCCTCTTTGCTACCTACCATGTTTTTACGATTCTTCCTGCTTTCCGTCTTCCTTCTACCCCTTGGTTCCCTGCCTTTGATAGCTCTTCCAAACTGATTGATCCCTCCCCCACATCGCCTAGACTAACCTATCCCAGCTGGTCACTGTTTTACTCAGCCAATGGCTGATTTCGGTTTCAGGCGGCGCTGGGCTACAGTTACCCTGGCAACAAGCCAGTACTCCTCTGTTTTCCCTCCTGTTCTAGCTTCTGAATCGCCAGCAGCTTTGGGATAAGCGTGTCTTAAAGCCATTGTGGTTTCATAAACTTTCTTAATGAACTGGTTTTGAAGAGTCAGACTGTAAAATTTTCTGGTAGTAAATAAACTGGATTTCCTTAATATATCAAGTCCTTTGGTTGTATTTTATTCGTCAAATTAGCGAGAGGCCAATAGTCACTGCATCCAGATAAGACAGTGTTTATTGCAGCTATTTTATTTTGATCTTGATTATCAGTTTTCTTTTCAGAAAATAACCTAAAAAGTGTTCACAACGATTTGGGTTGTCTTTTTTTTTTTTCCACCACCAAAAGTGCATGGCCATAACACTAGCGATGAAACTCCGCTAGCCTTCTAGGCTTATTAAGCAGATTAAAAGATTACCATCTAACTTTAAAGGGAAAAAGGTTTATGACAATAACGACAGTAATCAGAGAAGAAAGCTTCTGGCAGCTCGAGATTTGAAACTCGGTTTTAAGACTCCGTCTGTTGTGCCGTGAGGGTTTTTTTTTTTTCGGAAGTGGAGCGAGTCGGATAAACGGCGATTCAGGCTTGTTAAGTAGCCAATCCGGCTCAATAAGTAGTGCACTGTTAAATAGGTTAGAGACAGTGCGGGCAGCCGTGGTATCTTCCTTAGTCGCTTAAGAATCAGCAGGAGTCACCTGCCATGGGGGATGTAGCCTTTGGTGTTTTGGTGTGCAGACTTGTACTTTAGGCCTGTTGATGGTGATCTGTTTCAATTAAGCACCAAATGTAATCAAACAAAATGCACTGTGACCCTTTCTAAGTCGCTGTTGATAATGGAGAACTTGCGATTTGTCAGATATCACAAGTTTTTTGCGGGCAAGTTGTAGTTTTTTGTTGTTTGTTTAGAGTAATGGCTTCTCTCTTTGTTTTGCCAAGACTCACTCCAAGCGGGAGGGAATGGACCCAGCATAATGAGAGCCGGTGACAGACAGGAAGCCCCGCATGGCCGAAGTCAGCGCCCTCTAGGGGACGCCCAGGAGAACAGCCCCCCTGGTGGAGCACCACAATCGGAAGATGAGGTTTCAGAGAGAGTGGCTCACCGGCTAAGGATCATAGGGGACGAGATAAATGCCACGTTCCTGCAAAGACGGGTAAGCGTTGCAGTTCACACCATGTCATCCGCCTTGCTGGTGTCACTACGCGATGCGGTGCATGATTTCTAAGAACATGTGACTGAAACGATCTTTCCAATTTTGGATGAACACAAAGCCCCCCCCCCCCCATTCTAGCCTGTCCTCTCCTTTTTCCTGTCTCTTTCTCTTTTTTATTCCCTTCTCCGCTGCACCGTGTGAGGACCGCTGTTGGCAGCCGACGCAGTAAACACAGGCTAATCTCCCCCTCCCCCCACCCTGCCAGACAAACACGACTGACATCACCGTTTCATTCTCACGCGCTCCTGCCACCGTGTCGACTGACGGCGCGCTGCAGCGCTTCCACTCGCGCGCGCAGAGCCATGAAGATGGGGCAGCGATGCATTCACACCACGCGCAGCTCATTCAGAAAAAAAAAAGCGGCGAAACGAACGAAATCAAGTTGTGAATATTAGTCTTAAGGCTCGAACGAAAAGTTACAAAATACCCATCTTCGCTCCCTTGCTTTATCTGCTTACCTCAAGACTTTGACCACAGTGAATCTTAAGTTGCCTGGACCTGTTGATGACACACGGCCCAGTGATCCCTTGAATAAAGAAGGAGAGACGATCGTTGATCTTTTTTATTATGGAGGTGTCAGCCGTATCTCTTTGGTTGTGACTGCAACAGAAACGCTGCGGGGGCTGGAAGCACAAAACACAGACCTCCTCCTCTTCACTTCACCACATTCTGTCCAGCACTGACTGTATCAGTTTGCTCTCCTTTTTCCCTCCTTTATTCTTTCCCATTTGGGCTGCCAGCTTGTGTCTTGATCCTGTCTGTTCCCTTAACGCAACCCCCCCCCCCCTTTCTCTCCCCTTCTCCACTTTCTGTCTAATGGTGAGGCTCTGTGTTATTTTTAGAGCTTGACTCATAGAGGCAGTTGATGTACGGTCGCCCTCCTATCCCAACGCCCAGGCCTGCTCTGTGACATAGAGCACAGCACAGACACACCTGCCCGTACTGGGAAGCTCTCTGCTCTGGCTGGCTGGTCTCTCCTTACGTCCTCAACTGCGGGGCCTTCATGTTGCGCGCATATTATGCTTGCATAGGCAATGCACGGTCTTTATTCTGTCCCACAATTAGCTAATGTCAAATGCCGTTACTTGTCAGTCCATTGTTAAAACAGTGGTATTTAAATTCATCCTGGTACATCGATAACTTATAGAATACAATCACAGCATTTTGTGAATCTTTGGTCAATTCTTTCGGATGGAAGATCGATCGAAGTACCTGCTTAATGTTTGTTGTTTAGTTATTGCTCTTTTCTTCCAAAACAACTATTTTACCTTAGGTTTTTTGTCCTAACTATCATAGTATCTGCTGGTCCTCTGTATGTGTAAAATATGTATTCTGATTTTGGAATGCAAGACTGACTCCAGGAAGCTACCTATATAATAGTGAGTGTTATATTCACGGAGCATTATAACTGTACCACTTAGTTTTCTCCTGGTTATCGCTGGATTGAGGTTACCTTGATTTATCAAGGCCGTGTTCGACAATAGGCCATATCCATCCATCCATCCATCCATCCATCGTCTGTAACTGCGTGTCCTATTCAGGGTAGCGGGGGAGCAAGGAACAAACAAGGACGGGGGGGGGGGGCAACCCGCCATAGACCACACACACAGTTTGATAACTCCAGTTAGTCTCAGCATGTTTTTGGACCGTGGGGGGAAACCGGAGTAGCCACAGGAAACCCCACGACACATGGGGAGAGCATGCAAACTCACACACATGGCAGAAACTCGAACCCTGGTCCCAGAGGAGTGAGTGCTAACCAGTGTACCACCACAGGCCATATAAAAAATAAACATTGAATAACCCACTATGTAGTGACACTAAGTCTCTTGTCTTCGTCGGCTGCTGTTATGCCGGATACTTCCAGGCTCCTGACTGCATGGTGGCCGCTATCACAATTTTTGGGGCTCTTTAGTCGCGATAAATGAACTGCATTGCAGGAGGGTCCTAATCAGGTCACCGACTGCCGAGGCCCCAGTCAATGTCCTGTCCAGGGTGATCCTCTGGTGTATAATACCTGCTTACTGGGATAGGTTAGGCTCACTGCAACTATACCTTCAATAAGCAGCTATGGATGGATGGATGGATGGATGGATGGATGGATGATGACTTCTTATTTTCATGTAACCTCCAACCTAATATCGCCCGCCTCTCTTTTCAGAATGCTGTCCTGCTATGGCAGAACTGGAGGGGTGTCTGCAGAGGACTCTTTCTCTTCATCACAAATGCGCTCTGCACCTTCTACCAGCGAAGACGCACGTAAAATCTTAGGACGGCTAGATGGGCGCTGGCGCCGCCCTCTCCCGCCCCCCCCCCAGAGAGCACAGGCAGCGCCAGCGCTGGGCTAACCTGCGGGATCAGGTTATGTCGTTTCTGTTATTGTCGTCCCTTCGTTTCGCCTTTGTATATTTTGTACATTGCTTTCCATCTGGCCTGGCTGCGGCCGTTTTGTGTAGGGGGTGGAGCCTGGAGGCCTAGTTGGCCGTGACCGCACCGTTTTCTGGAGTCTTAGGAGGAGCGAAGTGAACTGTAGGGTGAGGACCTTGACCGTGCAGAGCCGGTGAAATGGGAACGGGCCCCGTTTTCCGGTGCTGAGCCGCGTGGCTCTGCTCGGTCTCCTGCGATGCCTTTGCCTTCTTTCACTCTGGAGCTTGACAGCCCCCCCCCCCCCCTTCAAGATGTGCTCCTTTATAACAGGGAAGGCTGTGAACTTTGTAGATCCAGCCTGGGAAGTCAAGCAAAATTATGCTGTTGTGTTTTTTGTTTTGTTTTGTTTTGTTTTGTGTGTGTAGCCCGTAACAGGCTACAGCACCACAGCGAGTTGGTCCCATGGAGCCGTGATGGTCCCCAACACCGGGCTGCTAGGGCAGGGATACAGGTCAAGACCGATTTGCCTCTAAATGTATGTCCGTGTGTAAGAATATAATTTGCAATTAGTTTGTCACCCCTACCCTGCCTTTGCCTGAAAATTATTCAGATGGATATAGTTTTCTACAGACTCCCTTTAACTTGGGCCACATTTTTAGTGCCCCCCCCCCCCCCAAAAGACATGACACCTTGACCCGCGGTGGACAATCCGCTCGGAGATTGTTGGATCCACATGGCCCCATGGCGTATGACTGGCGTGTGCGTGGCTACGTACCGAACTCAACTCCACAGCCAGGGAGTCATTGTTCCGGCATTAAGATCTGTTTGGTGTCCAGCAATTTGCCAAAACAAAACAAAAAAAAAACGTAATTGTGATCGGTGGCCTAGTTGCAGTGTTAATAGTTGGAAAATGTTTGTGTAAAACTGGGAGAGAAACAGGCGTCATATGGATAAAGCGGTTTGGCAAATAACCTGGTCTACCAATTTGTTTGTTTTTCTGGCTAACCTGTTGTTGAACAGTTAAATTCTATTTAAATTCTTACATCTAGGAGTTTATTTATGACTTGGAAGAAATCTGCACTATGAACTTTTTTTTTTAAACCACCTGTTGAACTGTTGTGTAAGACAGTGGCCAACTTGAATTGGAATTGAAATTATGTTGAAGTTAATGTATTTATATACAGTAGATCTTTAAATAGTATTTCAGGAATATTTGGGTTAGTTGAACCTGATTTTTATTTTGTCTTTTTCCATTATTATTTTTTCTGAAATATATTTTTCATGTTTTGTCCCTGTGTGGGTTCAACTGTTGTCTATGAAAGTGGGCCTGTATATTTTTTACGATAGCCAGAAATCTTATTTCTTCAATAAAGTAAACCTCAAAGAATCCAAAAGTCATTTTTATTTTAAAATGAAACGAATATGAATCAGTCACTTTACAGAATAAATTATTTAAAGCGTAATTACAAATTTTATGCTGTGCATTCATGACATGTATTTCCATTTCAGGGGGGGATGGGGGGTTGTTAAAGTGAACATTGTTTTGTCTATAGGTTACACTCCTGTTCCACTGCTCCAAAAACCACTAAAGGCTTACTTCTGGCAAGGAAGATTTTGTAAACACAGCACTTGATAAATTATTTCCGTATTCATAAGGTGGATTCACGTTCTGATTTTTTTTTTTTTGGTTGACAAAGCTGTTACGTCATAGCTGACCCTTCTGGTCAGGGACATTCCCCTAAATATTGGGTGATATTGTGACAACACACTGTTCCAGCACTACAGAAAACATTGGGCAACGGTGTAAATGATATCCTATCTGCTTCTGGTGAGTGAGTTTGTATCCAGGACGCCGTTAAGATGTAGCATTGGGTCATTTAACACTGTAAGGGTTGAATTTGTTATCCAGTTTATTTTTTTTAAATGATGATTCAGGAAATTAAAGTCTGGCTTTTAATCTCCAGACAGAACAGAAAAAGGTACTGGGGTATAAAAGGGCGTGTATAACCCTGACCATTGAATTCATTTCCAGTTTGGTACATTTAGGCCAGTTTAAGGTTTATTTTCAGAATTGTCACCCAAAGAACGCATATCCCATGGTTCATAGCAGTTCTGTTAAAGCTGAGTTCTTGATTTTTCCAGTTCCTGCCTTTAATAACACATACAAACTTGATATATACCAAGGTGCTAGAGCTGATATGTGATTTGCTCCCTTTACAGGAGTTCCTGTTGCTTTGTTGCCATACTTTTGACATGGCCTTGCAGAGAATCATTAATCTAAAAACCTTTAAACATAATCTGGATGTTTTTATTACTTTGAGGTATAAGACCTAGACTGAACCCCACAAGCACACCCTTACCCTTGAGTGTCTCCACGACACTGAGTGTGGGTGTCCACTTCCTGTGGCTGCCTTTTGACTTCTCATAGTGAGCGTTGGTGGTTCACTTCCTGTGGCGACCTCGTGACTTCCTGTGATGTTTTGATCTGCAATCTCCAGTACAGTCCTTTTCTAAGGGAACCGCCTTACTGTATTTGTTAAGTACCACTGTGTCTGTTACAATATGATGCTGAGACCGTGTATATTTGCTATTTGATATTTTCTATGTGAATTTCCATGTGAATTTTTTATTTTCATTTTACAATAAAGGGTAAAAATGTTATATGTTGCTCGTTTTTCTATTTTGTAACTGAATTAGTGTGAGCTAAAGTTTTAATTTATTTGGACCCTGTAATTTACTAATATAAATATCAAGAGGCACTCAATTATTGTAATGTAACATGGACCACAATAGTATTATCGCTTCATATATAAGGACCAATCACAGTCTCTAAAATCATCCAACATTTTAATAAAGGCAATTTCATTACCTTTGCATCTAATACTGGCACAGAGTTAACAGGTTAGATTTAATACCTGCCGCAAGAATGTGCAGAATGTTGTAGGCAAAATAAATTATAAGTATAACATTAATTCAGAATACTGTGTGACATAGTTTTTAAAAAAAACATCTAAAATAATAATAATAATTTTTATTTGTCATGCACTTTACATCTGGAGCAAATTTCAAAGTGCTACACAATAAAAACGTCATAAAAAAACATAAAACCCCTTTTAAAAAAATGTGACAACGCACAAAATTAATTAAAAACCATAAGTTCTGCTAAAAAGAAATGTTTTAAGTCTCAATAGTCTGTGGTGCCCTCAAATGATCCGGGGGGGGAGGGGGGGGGTGTTCCATAGTCAAGGGGAGGCAGAACAGAAGTTTGGTGCTGGGGAGGAAGCAGCGATTTGAGTTTCTATACAATATGTAATCAATAAAATACAAAACAATACATTTACAGTGTGACTATAGACCAACTGTAGATTTATGTAACAGTACACAAATTACATGATTTAGTATGAACTGCGGTTTTGGGTTCATGGTTCGGTGCAATTTCGGTACAGCAGGGAACGTTTTGAAATGTATTAATAAATATGCAAAATATAAACACAATTAAGGACAGTTGTAAACGAAAGGCAATGCGTCTGTCGGCCTGGAGTCCCTGCTCTGTAAGAAATCCAATTTTGCATAAAGCTGGGTTAAACAGGCCACTGTCCATGTAGAATGGAACCTTCTATTTCAGCATTTCTCAACCTGGTCTGTGTGGATCCGCAGTCAGTCCACATTTTTGCTCCCTCCCAGCTCCCTACCGGGAGCAAAAATGTGGACAGTCTGGCAGGGAGCTGGGAGGGAGAAAAAATGTGGACTGTCTGAAGACTGGATTGGGAAACACTATTCTGTTCTATGTTCATGGGTCACACATTAGATTTATTGAACATGGTTGTTCGTGCCATTGTTAAATTTGAATAAGACCTTTAGCATATGCGGAGATAATTGGTTTTCTGTCTGCCAACAGAGAACATTTTGAAGAGCTGTCAAAAGACAGACAGAGACTGCATAGAAGAGTAGCAAGTAATTATCTCACCCAAATTTCTGAGATTAATCACTAGACACTCCAGGAATCGATCATTTGACCGATAGTCTAGTCCTCAAGGCCACTGGGTTTTCAAGGGGAATGATGACATTGCTGTGTGACATTACCTCATTTTCGACATAGAAGAGTGAAACGGGGAGACGTGCTTTAATTAAACTGGTGTTCTTAGTCCCATCTGTATTAATCCCCCCAAACTAATCTAAGAAAAAGAGCAGTGACTCTTTCACATGAATCGTGGCATCAAGCCTAAAGTCGTCTTCTTTGTTAGTTATTCCTTTAATTCAAGGAAAGATGCAATTGCTGATGCACACGCTCATTAAACACGAAGAACAGCAAACAAAATCCCTAAAAAGTTAAATCAACTGAAGAATCTTAGAAGACAACAAAGGAAAAGCAATGAGTTCTTTGCACTAATAGAATACTGATATTCTCATAATATACATGAAAGCTTTAGGGTCTCTCAGCAGTCAGACTAGTTAATTTAATTTAGAAACATTATTGAAAAGAAATGTCTTTTGACTTCATAGGGAGTAAAATTCCCAGTCTTTTCCCGGGTTGAAATGTGTCACTAATTGGAGAGTAAACCAGTCAGAAAATAGTGGAAATCAGGCAATATTATTTTATGTTCAAGGACTGAATAGTTAAATTTAACAGAAACATGTAGTCAAGTTCCACAGGCATCTTCCTAATAAGAGTCATTTTTACTAGTCATCCATTCATCTTGCAGCCACTTTTCTTGTATAGGATTTCAGTGCATACATTTTCAAAATGTTCTTCTTTAAAAATTGTTTTACTTTCAAATATAACCATAAGAATGGGCCTATATCTCAAAATCAGTGCAACAGTCTCTTATATTAACCTAGACTTCTGCAAATTCCATGTCTTTACCTGTGCTTAGAGCAGAGGTAGAGATTTCAGGTCCAGAGAGTACAAATCTAGACCATGATTTTGTTTCAATCAACCAGTTGAGTGTAAAGATTCAGTCACAGAGTACTCAGCTGGTTGGTTATAAAAAAATCTTGGTCTGGATTTGTACTCTCTGGACCTGAAATCTCCACCTCTGGGTTAGAGTATATGTGGTTTATATAAGGTTTATTTCTAGAATGTTCTTCCATAGTTAGAGCAATGGGCTGCATATTTACTGCCATGCCAGACCAGGCCAAGCTCACTTCACGGCCCACATGGCATTAAGCCAGAAGCCTAGTGGCCAAAATAAAAGCCGGTTTGCTATTCTGTTTTCAAGAGTTGTACACATGAAATGGTCCACTATCTTTGACATTAAAGTCACAGAAGCACTTAAATCCTATTCAAAAGCCTAAAAGTCATTGCGCTTAGTTCCGAATATTCATCAATGGTTAGGCTACTGCTAACTGGCCTGCAACTAACTAGCCCACGGCTAACATGCTGAGCCATATTTCTCACATATTTGTATGCTGTTATAGTGTGGATTAGCATAGTCAGCTACTGTCAGTTTTACTCTATACAAACCAATTAAATTTACCATGCTCCTTTGGCACATTCAGAACATAAATTTCATGTTTCATTCTATATAGGATTTCCCCAAACTGGGCCTGTCTAAATCATTCATTCATGTAGTTAAAAAAAAAATAGTATACCAAAAATATACATTTGCTGGGATGTGAGGAAGTCAAAGAAACATTCCTCAGACCATTAATGCAGTGTGAAAATGGTGATAATTCTCCCACATCCACTAATGTGTTACTGAGAAATCCTGGAAATTGCGACCAAAGCTTTGAGAAATAATGGGAAAGAAACATGGTTGCAAACCACATTTATAAGTCTATTCATTCTCCAGCTTCTTGTCCTGGGAAAGTTCATGGGAGGCGAAGCCGAGGCAGGATGGGATGTCAGCAGAGGTGGAAATTTCAGGGCCAAAAAGTACAGACCAAGACCAAGACTTTGTTTCAACCAACTAGTACTCTGTGAATGTGACTCTTTATACTCAACTGGTTGGTTGAAACAAAATCTTAGCCTGGATTTGCAATTTCTAAATGTCTACTTACATGCATATACACGCACCACTACTGCCAGTTAGCCTACCTAGATGTCTTCAGACTGCAGAAGGAAACCATCACTAGATAGAGGTGGGATTCAAACCCATATGCTGCAGGTTTGAGACACCATGCCTCTCTGTAGAGCTACATTTTACATCATGTTACGTTTTCATACTTTCTGCTAACACAGGGCAGGGGAGAGCCAACGGAGGACGCCAGTCCATCGCAGGATCACACAATACGAGAAATATAAAGACACCTAGCCATAGGTTTTGGGACTGCGGGAGATATGCTTGCCTTGTGTTCCTACGGGTTAAGAAAGTCCAAGAGCCGGAATCAATCTCACTAGTCTTGAGGTGTGGGTCTGGACTGTTAAACGCTGAACCATCACACTGCTCTAATTTAGATTTCTCAGCTACAGAAGCTGGCAACTTACGTCCTGAATTCTTCATCCTTAGCCAGTCAATCATTCCAGCCTTAGTGTAAGATTTAAAAAGGTATGAGAAATCTGTTAGGGGCAGTGCAAGAGAGACACACACACAGAGTGGTGTGGCTGATTGGTTTAAGGCACTGGGTCTCTCTGAGGGTGTGGGTTTGAGTCCCATTTGTGTCAACTGTTTTCAACTATTTACCACAGCGATCAATGCTTCAGTTCTCAGATTAGTACAAGCTAAACAATCTGGTTTTTAAATAGATCACGGGTATGACATGTGCTCTACATGTAGCATGTTTCCAGGGGTTTGCTTTTCCTTTTTGTGATTCAGTTCCCCCCTGCAATGCAGACACATGGATTTGAACGATTTAAATTGTATTTATGTCAAGGTCATTGCGATGGACGGATGTTTCTCAGCATGATTGGGGAAATTTATGATTTTTTTTTTTCTGCCTGTATTGAGTAAATATGATAAATATGTGTGTTATACAGCAGTTTGGAGAAATCAGCAGTGCTAAAAGCTTTGAAAGGTTCAACAGCCGCAGAAAATGACATTTTCACAGTTATAAAGTACAGAAGTTCGATGTAAGAGCACCAAGTCTTGTCACGCTAAGTAATTCCACTAGCTACCTTCATTGTCCAGTTACGTTTCTTTAAATAATATTTTTTTTTATTAGCATAGACACTGACAGTTAATGGCAGTCAACTCAAACATGTAAATATCTGTTGACAGCTCACTCTGGAAGCTGGACTGAAGGCAAGCTTGTTAAGTCACTGAATTGTATGTTCCATAGCAACTACTATTCTACACCCACACACTCACAAAAAACGTGGAGAACAGATACCACCTACTGCAGCAAAGCTAAATATGCATGATAAAAACAAAAAAAATAGCTAGAAACGAAGAAATCTATAGTCGTATGTTAACAGTTTTTAACTTTATATGAATTTTATGAAGTCATAATAAATTCATTATAAATCAGATAACCATCATATTTTTACTTTACATATAAATTTATAAAAACATCTTAAATTCACTGGGATACACACACCACCATTGCTATGGTCATAAATGAGCCAGAATTTTATCATCAAAGAATATTTGTCTTTTCACGCGTGACACTAATTGCTTATTTGACTAACCGCCAGAAAATTTTAGAGATAAACAAGACTGTTTATAAACAAATTAGCTCGGACTACAATCCCCAACTCTGTATCTTTATCTTCTGAATATTGCCGTCAGGTTGTTTTGACAATGATAACCTGAGCGTTCATGCAAATATCCATACATTTAAAGAAACTGGTAAATGTATGCTTTCAAAAACCGTTTTGATCAAAAAAAAAAGACATGAGAATGGAAGTTAAAACTGTAGGGCAATTGGTTTTATTCTTACAGTTATTACAAAATGTAAAAATATCGTGCTTCAGAATGTCGACACGAATGGAGGTGATGTAGAAAGGACAGGAACCACGTACAATGGAAAAGCTGGACTTGGCCTCAAACAATAGTACGAGAACTTACAATACACAGTCCATTACACGGCTGACAACGGGAAAGGAGATTGGCTGAGATCCAGGGAAATAAACAGTAAAATATTCAGCTGTATCTGTGTATCCGGGGGTATGTTAGTGACTGTTTGAGAGTGTACGTAATTAACTAGCCAATTATGTAATCATGGCAAGAGTTGGGCATCAATTTAACAGACAAAAATGAGTCCAACCCACTCTCTGGTAAAAAGCAACATACCAAAAACAATGTCTCAAAATTCCAGGACAGAGCCGGTGAGGTAAAGAGATGTGCTGCACATTCCAGCTCGCCTCTGGATAAGCTGAAGGTTCTTCATTTGGCACCAAAGTAGTCCACTACGCCACTGCCCTTCGAGCCATCAAAGAAGAAGAAGTTCCTGTGTGGGGGGTCCCTCTGAGAAAGAGCCTGGAACGCGGAAAGGGTCATTGGTTTAGCTACGGCAATAAACAGAAAAAACGCCCATTAACGAAAAATCGCCTGTGCAGGCAGAGTGGGTGAAGTGGACTCGAGAGTAAAAATAATGGATGCAATGGGGAGTGACTTCAGCCGCATGCAATCGCAGATTCACAGGAGACCCGGGCCAGCGAACGCTCTCGGCTGTGACCGCGTCTCACAGCTTTCCGCTTCCAAAGCTTAACGCTGAGCGTAGGAGCACTGCCACGTTGGCGGAAGAGAATGTAATTAACCGAAACTATTTGTCTGGTGCTAGCGGCAATCAGGAACATACTCAGGAGTTTGACGGTCGATAAATTCCGATGATGGATCTCAATCTGTCTGCTGTCCCAAGCGGGATTTTGATTTTGATTTTTTTTTGCCGCATTAAACATCTCATAGGAGAAAAACAGGTGAGTGATCAAGACTGACCAGAAAAAAACACTGAATCAGATAAGGGGTTAACACAGATGGTAGCATTTTCTTGTTAGATTTTCTGAAGCGAGTGGGGTGAAGCTGCTCTCTGACTGTGAGGGGTCTGTGCTCAGGTGGCGCCGAGCCGTGAGCCGTCTGCACGTTGCAGCCGGTTTCATCATGCAGGAGCAGCCGGGCACAGGGAAAAGTCTGGCTGCGCTCCACCACGGAGGAGGCCGGCGCAGCTGAGACAGCCGGCGCAGCTGGCGCAGCCGACTTAGCCAGGTGCTGCCAACTCCAACCCAAGCTGGGAAGGAGCAAAAATGTCCTTCCACTGGCAGGCGAAACATCCGGAGAGGGGCACGCGGTTGGCCGCCAGTTCACAGTGCGCGCTGCAGTGCATGGTGGGAAGGAAGAGGCTTATGGCTACATTTCAAAAGCTTTTTTACTCTGTGACTTAGGCTTCCAGCCAAGTGCCCACCGGCTAGAGAGAAAGGCCAAAGTCCACAAGGGAACGCAGCGCACAAAACAGAACCGCTATGTGATGTGACATACTTGGAGTGAGGACCCCAAAAAAAAGGCGTCCAATCCACATGCCTGGCTAGAATATCATGGCAAGCAAAGGGGGGCATTGGCCTCAGGTCAGCTCAAGCACTAATGCACACCTGACACAAAGAACAAGGCAGAGCACCATGGAAAGGCAGACTAATTTTTACAAAGGCATAAATGCTAGTTTACAATCCCCCTAGAGGCTTCCGCAGAAGCCTTGAGGCGGATTTATTCCTGGGATACTTTGATTTATTTGAGGAAATTGAGAGCAGTCAGTGTTGATACAGGCTGAACCCTGTAGTCGTCAGCAGCACGAGTTCATCGCAAAAATTCATCACATTTTGATTTTCATATCTGTGCCATCAGAATTAAAGATTGCCCCCAACGGAGTCGCCGGCAGAGCTGGGATACGTCTCCTCCGTCCTTTCATGAGAGGAGGGATTCAGCTTGCCCCCCCCCCCCCCCCAGCACCGAGACCATCGTGGCGGCGAGCCCCTATCCTGGGACGACTCGGCCTACTTTGTGCGGTGGCGTTACCTTCACGATCTCCTGCGCCAGCACGCCTCCGACCACGGCGCACACCGGGGCCATCTCCGAGAAGCAGTGACTGCAGGGAGGTCACAGGAGAACAAAGACTGTCAACAGCTCAATGCCTTGCTCGGCAAAAGCGCTCACCCTCTGCTGACTGGCATTTAATAAAACTAGGATTATTTCATAAATCACTGATGGTTATACCAGATGGAAGAATATTGTTTGATGAGTAAGGGATTCTACCGATCACACTATCACAGGCAACACAATTTATAATTTATTTCAGCTTTCCAAGCAGCTTACTCGGTACTTTTATTTGTACTTAAATTAATACCACTAACCCTCTGCAGCCCCTTCATTAGGTACATCTGCTCGTAAATGAAACTGATCATGATCTAATGGCACTTTTCCACTGGCACCAAGAACCGAGCGGCACCAAGAACTGAGTGGTACCCAAGCCGTACCACGACCCGCCGGTTTTCCATTGTAAAGCATGCAAGAAGTACCCGAGCCGTGCCCACGCTGACATCGCCCTGCTTACTAGCAGGCCAAAAGCGTGACTAAACAGAGCTGGATGTGTCACCACTATGTGATTGGTCGAAATGCACGGCGATACCGGTGATTTGCGCCAATATGCATGGAATATCGGAGAAAAAAAAGTATATTGTATATAATATTCATTATCAGTAGTGTCGCACATCTCGATGTACCACTGCCTTCCCGATGAACTTGAGACTAAAATTTCCAACATCTTACTTAAAAAAGTAAGCTTAAAAAAGTAAGCTGTATGGAATCGTAATGCAAACTTATGAAAGTGAATGTTAATTCCACTAGCTTTTGATGCTAATAAGATGGCAATTCTCACAGAAGTGCTACAAAAATTGGGAAATTAGCACACTGTAAATCATGACGGACACCGTGTGAACAGTAAATGAGCGTCTCTTCGGTTTTTACGCCACTGTTCCTCTCCATCCCCAGCCACGCTTTCACCGAGCCGATCCTTCGCAGTGGAAACCGAAGTGAGCTGGATCTGCCCCGTAACTAGTCTTTCTTCGAAGTACGGCTCGGGTACGCCATAAGTGATTTTAAAGATGATGTCATTGTTTTGGCCAGATATGGCGGTACCCTCCCCATCTAAGAGACAGCCACCCCCCCGGGGGTTTTCATGCATTAGTGTGCAGAAAGGCATCCATAGCTTGTCAATACCTGGTGGCTCTGAAGGCAAAAGGGGGTCCTGTGTAGGGGTACCTAATAAAGAGGCCACTGAGTATTAACTTTACTGTCAAAAGCGCATAAAGGAGAAGCTTCACAGTGCGCATCCACCCACACACTGCCAGGCCAAGAAAAGAGGTCGCCATTTGAATTTTTCATTGGACCGCCTTTAGCTTTGATTACGGTGCACATTTGTCATGCCATTGTTCCTACGTGCTTATGCAACACCTCAACATTTATTTTCATCCAGATTTGCATTCATTTCTCGCAGAGATCTTGTATTGATGACAAGTGAGTTGACCCACTCCATCAAATGCGCGAAGACGTTCAATGGGGTTAAGGTCAAGACCCTCTAGTGGCCAAATCATGCGTGAAAATGATTTCTCATGCCCCCTGAACCACTCTTTGACAATTCAAGCCGGATTAATCTTGGCTTTCTTGCCCTGGAATTTGCCCTTAGGAAAGCAAAAAATCCATTGATGATGGATGGAGGTGTAACCTGGTCATTCAGCAGATTCAGGTACTCAGCTGACTTCACTTTATCGCTGCATAACATTGCTGAGCTATAATAATGATTCAATGATCAGCATTAAGTACATGCCGATTTAAATTCAAACGGTGACGTTTTTTTTCGGCTGGCCAGCATGTAACCCTTTGTCAAAAGGTGAAGAGGTTCATGCTAACCTGACAAAATTATCGGAAAGCAGTTCACTACCCAGACCCTGGGCTTCCAGGACATCATCGCGGATCTGCTGCAAGAGAGAGGAATCTTCTGCGAATGTGCCAGGATGCGGATCACGACCCTTATCGGTTCGGAACTTAAGCAGCACTGGAGGAGGGGGAGGAGAGGGAAAAGGTGGGAGGGACAATAACGACAAAGTCAACAACGACAACAAAAAAATTATAATAATAATGCAAACATCATAACTTAGCAGGCAGTTGTCTTCAAAGGTACTTAGGCTGGTTGAAACAAGGGCTTTGGAAATAGCCTCATTAAATGCCATGCTGCATAATTATGCGAGATATAAAAATACAAACCTCTAATGAGTGCAGCTTTCAATATAAAACTGCACCAATTTAAAATGAAGCTCATACCGTATAACATGATATATAAAAATGACATCATACAAAAGCAGACACCAACAGCCAAAGACATAAATCCATTTAGGTCCTAAAGATTCATTATCTTATATACAATCAAGATGCAGTTACAAGTATTACAAGACATGAGTTTTCAAAAAAGCTTTGGAAGCAGGAAGTATTTTGCAGTCCTGAGGTTCAGGAAAAGCTTGCTTCATTACAGAGAGGACAAGACTGAGAACAAACGGGGGTTTTTATTTATGACCTTTGAGACCTGGAACAGTTCGATGACCAAGTGTAGAGGAATGTGGTGACCTTGCAGTGCAGTAGAGTTTAATTAAAATGTTACTTGGCAGCCATATGTATTAAGTTATTAGTATAATTTAGGGCTGCTGCGATTAGTCAAGGTGGTTGATGACGCTGAAAATGCGTCGACATCAATATTTTAAATCGACGCATCATTTTTTCTAAATGATTTTAACGAAATTACCTTTATGATTTCTAAAATGCTTCAGTTCTTTATAACAAATGTTTTTCTTCAATATCACTGCGTAATTATAGGAATCATTCAAATTATCACTAAACAAAAAGGTTCGATGGCATACCACAGCGGCACTAGCATTATGCACTAGTGCCTGAAGAGAAAACATAGAAGCACTATTCTGGATGATGGACCACCAGAATAGGCAAAACCACTGTAAGCACTGTCTGTTCATGTTTATTAAATTTCCATTAGTACAGAGAACATTTTAATATATTTTGTCCTTGTATATACAAAAACATCTAATAATGACCTATTAATCTGCAAAAAGTACCGCCACACCAATAGCGTTTACCACACTATCTCCTCTTTTAATAGAAGTTGTGGCTACAGAGAGACTTCAAGGCTTATTGCTTCCATGATTTACCAAAACAGTCGCATGTTGCGTGCTCCACTAACCAATTTTAATAAGCATAAGGATGCGCCGAATTTATACATTTTACTAACTTCTGGGCGTCACAATATGCATCTCATTAATATTTTAGGTATACTACTCCTCTACTTATTGAACTGTGGGCGAAAATAACGTCGGTATAGTGCTGAAAAGCCAGTGTGCATTATCTGAAGTGCTGCAATGATATACAGTTTGTTATTGTCAAAATAAAATCAGACTAAACCGTGAGCTTGATCTTCTGGATGAAAATTAATTGTTTAGATTTATCGACCGATACGTAAAATAGTCGACAGATTAATCTATAGAACAATAGTTGTTAGTGGCAGCCTTGCTATAATCCCCAGCTAGTAGGCAAAAATGAAAGGACGAGGAAAGAAAAAAAAGATACAATAATGACAGTTAAACGATTTGAGCACCAGTGTTGTGGAAGAGCTGACGAGGCTTTGTGAAGAAACCTGGAAGCTTAGCAAGACCATAGACGTGTAGAAGTTAGACTATAACCAGTTTACTCATGTTTCATGCTCTACAGACAGTAACACCAACCCAGTTAGGGATCCTGCCTGTAACGTGAGAGCAGTCACTGTTCCTAGTTCGTGGATATGATACCAAGACCCTCAACCAACCTAATGGACACTATCAAGCAGATAAACCTTGCAAACCAAAAAAACAGAATGTAATGGATAAATTATTCAGTTCACTGCACTGCACATTTATCAGAAAAATATTTTATTCATAGAATATAATTTATTCTTGGTAATGAAGCAATGAAACTACTTATATATTCAGAACATTTAAAACATGTAGTTATTTAGCAGATGTCTGCCAGAAGTAATGTGCAAGCGAGGAAAAGAAGGCTCATCCTACACCCAACCCTGCTCACAGGCCCAATGGCGAAACGCTTAATCTGCGAGCCACGGGATTTTAACCCCTGACCTTATGGAAACAAATGCTGAATCTGCTAAGCTTCACACCACAGCAGAAGGACAATTCTAATACAGTCTTTCACAACTCGGTCCTCGGGAACCTACAGACGGTCCATATTGTCGCTCCCTCCCTGCTTCCTGCCGGACAGTGCACATCTCCCCAGCTCTCGGAGGGAGCAAAAACGTGGACTGTCTGCAAGTCCCCAAGGACCGGATTGGGAAACACTGCTCTAATGTTGTTTTCTCCTCTCATTCAGAGACGTGGACGGCAGCTTCTGCATGTGCTCTCATAACAGTAACAATTTGGTAGCAAATCTCCTTACATATTATCAGCCAAGAATTATTAATACACTTAATATCTGAATATAGTTAAAAACTACTAATGTACTTATGGTATCTAGCATGAAGGCTGTAGATGTTATGCATGCATTAATTGTTTATCTGTCTCAGGTTTTAATTAGAATAGTGATATTTTATTCATCCCCGGTGGGAAATTCAAGTACAAGGCCAAGCAACATAAATCAGGTCACTTTACATAAATTACAAGTGACTGTGAGAAATCAGTAGAACCTTGACATTAATCTTTATCAATATACCCGATACCGATTAAAGACCTAAATTATGAATTTTTCTACGGCTGCCACTAACTACTATTTTTCTATGGAATAATCTATCTACTATTTTGCCGATTGGTCGATTAACCGAAACGATTAATTTTCCTCCAGAAAATGGAATACACAATTTAATTTTATTTTATTTTATTTTCACAACAACAAACTATGTTACTGCAGAGCTTTAGATACTGGACGTCGGCTTTTCAGCACTATATGGACATTACTTTCATCCACAGTTCGATAAGAAAATTAGTAGCATGCATAAAATATTAATGAGATGCGCATTGTGACACCCAAAAGTTAGTAACCTGTATAAATTCGGCATATACTTAAGCTTATTAAATTTGGTTACCGGAGCACGCCACATATGCCACTATTTGGATAAATCGTGATGATGGACAGCTCAGCAACCACAACATCTTTTAAAAGAGATATTGTTTCTTTTATTTAGCATCCGTCTTCGTTTCAGTTTACGATAATAAAATGGGTCCCACAAGCCCAAAGCGCATGAACGTACATTGGCATCGTCAATCCACGCAGAATAAACCCAGATTTTAGCCTAAACATTTTCATAAACACATTCAATGGAGATTCTAAGGTAGCAGACAGAAAACTTTATGGCTTTAATAATGAGTGTATTGAGCAGCTACAAGGACAAAAGATATTAAAAAGCTCTCCGTACTAATGGTAATTTAATAAACACGAATAGACTTCCAGTAGTTTTGCTCAGTCTGGTGGTCCAGGTCCTGTGTGTTTTCTCTTCTCTTATGTCATCAAATTTTGCAGTGTAAAACCACCTTTTTGTTTTGTTATAATTTGAACTTCTCCCATAATTACATAGTAATATTAAAGGAAAACATTTTTATAATGCATTTCAGTGTTTTAGAAACCATAATGGTCAATTTTTTTTTTATGTTGCGTCGATTTAAAATATTGATATCAAAGCATTTTCACCGTCGACAACGTCGACTAATCGCGGCAGCCCTGAATCTGTCACTTAAAAATGAGGTAATCAAGCAATCAACTGACTACTCAATGTATAAAATTACCATGACAAAAATAAAAATAATACAATTCCAAAGTAATTAATGATCAAGAAAAAAAGCCCTGATAATAATTATTAACATGTTAAAATAAGTACCAGCTGTAGTTGATAAGTCTTAAAGGGATTTAGTTAAATTAATCTAACCATTCAAATAACTTTAAACTGAACAGTTTGGGTTGCTAAGAACCCTGCTCTTGTTTCTGACAAACATTTCAATATCACTAAATCGACAGCAGTATCATTATATATATTTCTTTAGTAAATTATCAAATAAAAAGACCATGGGCTTTTAACAGCACAAAAACAGCCCTTCTGATTTTGCAAAAAAATTTACTTAAATGGATTAACAGATTTGTTTCTCCATTATATACATGAAAACAAAAAAATACAAATGAGAAGATGGGTTTTGGTGTAATGTCATTCAAATTCATTCACACAACAGGCCAATCAAAGCTTATTAAAGGCTCAGATAAACAGAAGCCAGTAGAGACACTGGATCGTAGAGATAATCATCTTATTCCTTTTTATCCTGTGTTCAAACACAACAAATTACTATCCATGACTATAATACCACAGCCTTTGTTTGGTCCTCACATGGAAGAGCAAGCCTTTTAATGTCACTGTATTTTGTAACTGTTAGCTTATCTAAGGCTATTGCAACACTGTTTTGTTTTCCAAAATGGAAACTACTTCTGAAACTGTAATACTGCCCATATGCTTTATGGTGCACTCCATAATATCATAGCATCATTTTTAAAACATACAGCATTATTGCAAACATGGTAGTGACTAAATATTACAATACTTGTGCACTAAGTACATAGTTAAACAAATGACTCATGTAGTCACCTAACTAGTTGTACTGCTGAGTAGACTGAAGAACAATTTCTGTTTAATACATGGCATTTTCTTTCACCCTTTTATCCACCAATTAGGAGTCCTATTGATCAGAAGTTTTGAATTTTGCGTTGTATCACTGATACGACTTTATCAACATCCTGGAATTTTGGTCAAATGCGTCTGTTTGTATAAGAAAATGTACCGACAAAAATCAATTTCAAAATCTTTTAACGGTTTTAAAAAGTTATGATGGGACATCTACAATTGCAGATGTTGTGGTGCTCATGACTACAAGTAGACTGCCAGACACAAGAAAGATCAGTATATTACTTTAAATGCTTTTCAGACAAACACTGCATCCTAGTCGAAGTTTATTTAACACAAAACTTAACAGCTGTGTGGCAATTTCACCTCCACCTCCACCCCAGGACCATCTCGGCCACCTTGACAGGAAGATTTCAAAGGAAATCAATGCAGCAGCTGTTAAGCAATGAGTTGCTGTGGAATGTTTGTGCTCACTGACCTGTGCGGCTCTCATGGACCGGCGAGGATTTCCCCCCCCGCCCACTCTAATGCGGCTCTCTGCCCATACCCAGTCACAAACGTTTCCTGTCTTTAGCTGGATTGCAAATTGCACCATAATGCCCACCTACTAACTCTTTCCACTGCCAAGACATCATACACACACCTAGTAACACTAAACCCCAGTCAAACCAGTACGGCCCTTTAAAACACCAAATCGAGTACATACAACAAACACAGCTGGGGGGGGAAGTTTTAGAAATGAAATCTGCAAATTGATTAATCTGAAATTGATTAATTCAATTAAGGCCTCATTAACCTACACACTGAAATTAACTGTACCACGACAGTCATAAATAATGTTTGAAGCAAGATATGAGAAATGGAAGTATTTCATAACATATACATTAACAAAATAAGGGAGAACAGGCTTATTCACAGCCTCTATTAGAATCACAACTTTTAAAGAAATGCAATCTACCTTTATATTTCAAACCATGGATGTTGTCATTGATTAACCTCAGAGTCTGCCATCTGTGATAGAGACGTTCAGAAGGGAAATGGGTCTTCCTTTACAACCAAATTGAGAGACCCGGTCATATTTATAGTCATGTAACATATTCTTAACCTTTAACAGAACCAAAACATTTTTTGCTCAGCGGAAGAAATAAAAACCACAGGGTCGGGCCAGCTTCAGCTAACCCATTCAGCGTGATGTTAAGACGACCATGTTTTTCGTTTAAGTGTCACTGCACATGGTTAGTCATGCATAGCCTGTGATGGAAAAAAGAGAACTTTCTGTGCAGAGGTGAAGCACAAAAAAAAACCTCATAACATGTCAAGGAAAACTGGCAAATTAGCTAAGGGATGAAGCAACTGATTTTTTTCTGTGTCTCCTGATGGCCTGCTGAATTAGGAGCGCATGCAGAATTAAACACTTCTGGAAGCAGGCTTGAGTTTAAATTACATTTTGTAGCCAAACACTGAGAGAACTAAGAATGGAATTAGCATGACAATATTTTTTTTTTTAGTCCCAGTGGTTGGAGAGTTACCTTGCAATAGGAAGTAATCGGCAGGGGTGCGCTTCAAACCAGCCTTGGCCTTTTCATTTGTCCAATCAATTTCTAAAGCTTCTTTCAAGGAACAGAAGCTGGCTGTCTATTAACAGAGAGGGGAAGGGAGAGTCAAAACGTCAAGAAGACGATTGGAAACACATGACTTGATTAAATATAAAAGCAAAATAAAGGATCCATACTTTTTTCACCATGGTGGTCTCAGTAGGGTCTACCCTTGGTTTCTTCGCCTCAGGCCTGTCATTGGCATCTTCAGAGGGCTTCACCACCTTGGCTTTCTCCCTGAAGCACACAGGCATGAAAACACTCCACCTGCTTTTTGATAACGGGGGGGGGGGGAACTGTGTGTTACACAACAGCCCGGGATACTCACTCCACGAAGTGGTGCTCTGGACCCAAGTTTGAGAACATGTAGCCGTGGTAGCCAAAGACATCACCGCAGAAGACCTTGACGTTCTTCTGGGCGCAGACCTGATCTATGCGGACCATCAGGTCCCGGGGGCAGCCAGTCAGACACACCTGAGATGAGAGGAGAAGAGTGAGCTTCATGACAAAGTCAACTTAATATACTAGCTGTAAGATAATAACTCATTGGATCCCTCAATTGTGCATCATTTAATTTCTCAATAAACTTAAAAAAAAATTTTTTAAAAAAGCTGAAAACCAGCATTCAGGCTGACAGAAATGCAGGATGAGGAAAAACTGCCATGTAAATGTTGTTATTCTAAACAAAAAAATGCTTTTGCCATTGAAAGATATTGTTTATCAACAGAACTGACCAACGGGTAGAGGTCTGCTTATCCAAGGAACCTAACTTCACCCTTCCCCATACCAAAGATAAGTGGGTGTTTGGCGCATATAGTTATTGACTGGCACTTATCCTGTGTTGAATGCCATGTGGGGGCGTGGATGCTAAATGTGTCACAAGAGGACAGGGTGGGGTGCCTGGTGTGTAATCAGCATTACAATATCTAATACAGTCTTTCCAAATTGCAGACTTGCAGAGTGGCATAGAAAGGAAGGCCTGTATACCACAAATAGCCTATATACTATATATACCACAAAAGAGGTCATTCTGTCCATTCCCACTATAAAGGCTGAATTCACAACTATTGGCACTAGTGACTAAGCAGGTGTATAGAGAATAAGATCACTGCAATTTCCATGAACATCAATAACAGAATTTGCCATGAAAGTTTCCTGCAGTGTGCGTGTTGCTTGTTGCTTGGCCAAGGGATAGCGGCGCGACATGGCTGCAGGACTGCCGCAGGAGTCGTGGACGTGCAGCGCCATTAAACAGCAGGCTTCCTCCCATTTCAGGAACAGGCACACGGCCACATCAGCTCCGATTTGGTGGCGGCCCACTAATCCTGGCCCCGGGCGACTCATTTATGCAAGCGGACACTTGCTGCATTGTTTGGAACGGAGAGAGGGGGCTTTCCAAGCCCACGGAACAAAAGAGCCCAGCTTTGGCACGACGAGCCGCGCAAAGGCAGCGACCAAGAGGTGGGACAGAAGACGACGGGGACGGACAAAGATGGGCAGAGTTTCTCGAGGAGGAAGTCGCGTTCACTTGATGTAAAAGATCAACACGCTAAGCAGAACATCATAGAAAAACGACATCTTAATCAACCTCTTAAAGCAGAGTGATTGAAGCGATGCAGGTCCAAATTCCATACCATAAAGGACTACAGAAACGCTGACAGAAATGTGCTGAAATGCATCAACATCTAAACAGAAAACTGGTGTAGTTAGTGCTTTTTGGAAGCAATGATTTTATAGAGCTTTAAAAGACGTCTCAGGGACTGCTGAGCAGTCTGTAACTCAGTAGAATAAGAATGCGAGATGCATACATAGAGATAACTTAACGGTAAGAAGGATGGGGTAAGACACACCAAAAGCTGCCAGCTCCCCCCCCCCCCTAGCCCCCCCAGCCCCCTCCCCCCACCTCAACCTGAACTTCCAGTGCAGCTCCCTACGGGACACTCCCCACAGTTTCTGCGGCAGTGGCTGAGCGAGAAAGCATCTGAAGCGTCTGTTCTGTGCTTTGTAACCCTGGCTTGCTTTATCAATCTTTCACAGTCGAGAGCCAAAGCGCGTCTCAATTACATTCCTAGCGTGAAATAAATAATAAACCAAAAGAACCGCCAAAAAAAAAAAAAAAAACCTGATCACACATCAAAGACATGCATCTCTATCTGGTACCAAAATATGTGGGGAAGAAGTGACAGCTGAACTTTTCATACCACATTTGGGTTTTTAAGCAGTCCCAAATATCGCTGCTTTCCTGGACTCGTCTGCCTTGTGTTTTGCTTGACCGTACCCAAGAGGTATTCCAGACCTCAAAGCACAGTGACAGCATCCAGCATGTCAAAGAACCGACGTTTTAATGAGGAGAAAAAATATGCACCGAAAGCCCATCTCTGTTTACGTTCCATTTCTGTGTGAATACCGTCTCATAGACATTGCCGAGGTGTCAGAGCTTGTTTGCCTTTAAGCAAACTGACCCTATACAATGCTGAATTCATTTAAATAATGAGGGATTACACATGAAAATTGTATTCAGAAAAATGAGGCACAGGAGAGTTTCAACTTAAAAACAAACAATAGTTCTGCGGGTAAAGCTACCGACTAGAAAAGCTATGGTAGAAAAGCACCATCTACAGGAACTTATAGGAAGGCAATACAAAATATACTATGAAGTTTTCTCCAAAAAAAAAACAAGTAGTCCTTTCAGTAACCATTATGGCCTAAATTTGTCCTAATTTATACCATATTTCTATACACATAGATATTAAGCTCACGAAGTCACAACATTCTCAAACCATCTCAATATTTTCATCAATGGCATTGAAGAGTTATTAAGTCAACGTTTTACCACACATGGACTCACATTCCTGCAGATACTAAGATTATATGGCACTGCCTCAGATTGAGCTATATAATGCAGACCCACTTAAGCAGCCCAGGAGACTCACAGCATCAAACTGCAGGAAGAATTCATCTGGCTTGGACTCCACTCTTTCTGTGTCAGCCTTCACCTCCACCATAGGGTTAAGGTATTGGGCCCGCTCCAAAGAGGCCTCGGCACGGTTCTGCCCCTCAGAACCCACAGGGATGAGGAACTGGGCCCGGCTAGACTCCTCCGTCACCTGGGGAAAAAGAAAGGAAAAAAAAAAACATTGAAAATAGTCATCCATTTACAATAACCACTTATTGAACTACAGTTGCAGAGATCTGGAATCTATCCAAGGCAGCATACGGGATAAGGGCATACCCTGGAGAGGATGCCAGTCCATCACAGGGCACTCACACACATGCTAAGGGCAATTTAAAGACAGCAAGTCACCAAAACAGCATGTCGCTGGATCGTGGGAGAAAATACCCAGGCCAAATTCAAAACCCGCGAGCCCGAAGGTCTGAGGCAATAACTTTCATGCCTTTGTGAATGCTGGTCATTTCTCAGCGTCGGCACTGTCCCACTTTACATTTCTTCCCCCCCCCCTGCCATGGATGAGCATCTGTGAGCCTGGGGCAAATATTGACCGAGAGCAAGCCGCGAGGCCTGGAATCACCCAGAACCCAGAGCACAGATGCAGCGCCACCACAGGCCGGCACGCTGAGCATCACCAGCTGTCCAATCATAAGGGTCAAACAGAAGTTGGCCAATCAACTCCGAACAACACTTCTGGCTTGTAATAATGTTGATTAGTAGGCCACTGACACCCATAGCCAGTTCAGGAGTTTATTTTGCTGTTCTTGTTCCGAAATCTTTAAGGTACGTTGGAACAGCCATTTTGAAATGGTGCTACATATAAACAGATCTGATTTTAACAACAGAATTAGCCATCAAAATTTACATTCATTCATCTATCTGACGCTTTTATCCAAAGTGACTTGCAATACCGAGGAGGGTTACAATTTTTGTGGATAAACCTTGAGATTTTAATCCATGACCTTTGGTGTGTTACTGCAATGCTGTACATGTTCAGCTATAACAGCCAAAATAAGATATTTTCAAAGACATTTAGCCATAATTAGAACTAGCCATCTTTACACAGACTGCAAACTATATGTTATTGTTGTCAAAAATCAATTTCAGATTTTGCTTTTGTTCAGCCTCTGGAAATAACCGAGATTGTCTCATCATCACCAGTGTGTCTTGATAACACTGAAATTTAAATGTTAAAAACTGTGCAGTTATGTACAAACATTGTTCTGAATCATCAACACATTTATGGAATCGACATCTGAAATGAAATAATTTAGATAACACTGCAGCTCTTACTATAGGCACAACTCTCCTTTTGGCAGCAAATAGACTGGTGAAAAACAGGAATCATAACAATGTCAGTCAATGAATAGTACACAGATTTAATATGAATACTTCAAAACCCACATTTCCAGGATTATCTGCAGTATCAGTGTCTCACTCAAGGTTCCAGCAGCAGCAGGAGTCTGCCAGGCTCGGGATTCGAACCAGTAACCTTAGAATTATGGACACAGGCTGAACCACAGGGCAAAAATAAGCTGACATCTTTACCCACACAATGGGCAATTTAGTGATGCCAATTTATGAAACCACATGACTTGAACTGCAAAAACCCATGCAAACACTGGGAGAACATGCAAACTTCACACAGAGAGCTGGACACAGGCATCAAATCCACAACACTTCATGCACAAAACTATTATACTTGAATAAAAGTACCAACCAGAAGCAGCCCAGTACCTGCTCGTGGTCTAAAAGGGTTAACCCTTTCACTCCTGCCAAGATGAGATTTTTAGCAACCTCTGCCCCCAGTCCTTGAAGACCGACAAGCAGAACACGTGATCCCCGCAACCTACATGGGAAAACAGACAAACAGCCATGTATTTAATTCATTTCAAAATTTAACACTGCATTAATCTTTGGCAACTTCTTACAATATTTCATTATGTAATAAGAGCATTAGTATAATCACTTTACTTATATTAAAAGCAGGCTGCACAGCTGAAGAAAACTAAATTCAATGTCGACTTGTACTTCAGTTCAGACTAGTGAAAATGGATCTTCTGAGAGTTAGCAGAGTAAAACCAGTATGTAGCATATTCAGATGTAAGACTACTGGGGGTTACATAAAGAACAGTTGTAGCAGTGATCAGATGTTCCAATAGCTATGTGGTTAAGGGCTGCAATCCCACCTTTCACCGCTGGAATTACAGATAAATGTTTGAGGGGTAAAATGAAATACATTTAATAAATTCAAAGGAAATACAGTTGCATTTTTTGCAGGATGAGAAAATGAAATGGGAATCGGACCGCGACCTAGTTAGAAACTATATAACTGGAATTGTTAATACATAACTAGATAGGCACCTACGTAAATGATAATAGTGACATGTGTATTACTACATTTGTCGAGCCACATATAAAGATAAATAATGTCTTGCTATAATCGATATTTAAGCGGATTGTTTTTATAGTGTTATCTAACATTTACACATTACGTAGTTAGTTAACCTAGCTACAAACCTCTTTTGTGCATCCAGACCCCAAAGACGAATCTGTCTATCATATTGGGCAGCCTCCTCCTCGCTAATAATTGAATCTTCCTTTTCAATCATATCTATCATTTTATCCGGTTCAAATTGTATTATCCTTTAAATTATATATGAAAGAACCAGTTATCCTTTTTGTGTACGTCTATCTTTCCTTTTGTAGTTCAACAAAAATCCCGCTATGTGCAGTTTGAATGGACGCTCAGTGATGACGATTAACTGCGGTCGCCAAATTAAGTCGCAATACATGGTTCCTGTCATGTGATTTCTAAAAACTAAAGATTAAATTGCCTATTTGTCCATTTTAATAATAATCTATAATAGACTATCCTACACTATTTTATACCATCATGTAATTTGAGTTATCGCATTAAGATAGAATTTGAAACATTACTTTTTTACTGCAACATTTAAGAGAAGACTGCTATTTGAGATATAGATATGCTCTGGTACCAGTATGATTCGTTTTCAAATAGAAACGCCTCTGTGTATGCCTTAATTTTTTATTGAAATGGCATACTAAATTTGTGGTTTATTAATTTTGCTTTTAACGTAAAGAAATCTTGATACAAGTCACAATTAGACGTTTTTAAATAAGATGGTATAAGTGTCGGATTAAAATTAAGCAGGCATTGTTGTTATAGATCGTCGAAATCCGGGAGAGTTTTGTGGGCTTTTGCGAAGTATTTCTCATTATTTCCGTGAGTGACGTTGAGTAATGTCGTCACTGCTGGGACAGACCTCCCCCTTCTCTGTGGAGAAGAGTCGCCGCCATTTTATGTGGATGAGTTTCATTTTACAGCGCAGCTGTAGGACGGAGAACCTCAGGAAACAATTCAACCTATCTCTCTTTAAACTGTTAATGGGGAATTGACTACTATGAACTGAAACTCTTCCTAAAATCAATTAACAAGTAGATCCAAGTTAAGTGACGCATAAGCCAGTAGATTCCAGTGTCGATTTGTAATTTTTTTTGCACTTAAATGTAGCTAGAGGAAATGGCCGTGGAAAGCATGACTGTCCATCCAAACTCCCCAACAACAACCAACCACGAACACATCAACAGCCTTCTCACTGACGAAAGGTCGAGTAATTCTACAATCATATTTCTATAACAACAATTTATTTATCCTGTGCTTTTTTAGACATAAAAAAGCTCGGGCTTTCTTTTTTCTTTTCAAAGGGATTAAAGTCGCCTTTTTCTGGGGAACAAGCACAGAGGTAACGAACGCCATCTTGAAACGTTGCAGAGCGCAATCTGGAAGGTCAAACACGAACCAGGGATATTTTTCAGAATTTTATCTAGCCGCCTTCTTTAAAAAATATTTCAGTTAATTTTGGAGAATAAAAATGACCACAAGGTCGAAATAGCTATTATTAATGCGTTTAAAGCAAAAGCCAACTAAATTTGAAGGTACAAATATTTTGATAGGGGGAGGGGAAGAAAAAAAATACATTTCTAATTAATTTGGAAGACCAATTTAACACTAATCAGCATTATTTATCCCAGGTTTGCAGATGGGCAGCTGGATGATTGCTAGCAGTTAGCTGACTTTTTCTTGGTCGACGGACGCAACGATAGTAGTGCGTGCAATATCTTAACTACGTCTCCCGAACAAAGAGTTCGATATGGCGAACATTTATTAAATATATCTTGTTTATCGCACGAATCGTCCCTCATCACTTGCGTTTATCATTTGGGTGTTATTAACATAGGTGATGAATTACGGATGTTTTTTGGCTAATTAACGTAGCGCGTGATTTATATAACAGCTAGGCTAATGAACTAGCTACGCACTTAAAATATGCTCGTTAATTCCGCTTAGCTAACTACGCCAAATATCTACTTATCCAAAATATGTCCCGAACGTTTTAAATCACGTAAATTTAATTAGAGTAAACGTATCTCCAATCGATTTCGGACGCTACTTAAAATAACTATGGAAAAACAAGCGTGCTCTATTGTAGCTAGCGACGTAGCTAGCTAGCTAACATTTTAGTCGTAGTGGTTGATTTGGGATATGCTACCATTAATGTAGTCGATTCTCCGCTCCAGATATATTAGTGATATAAAATACCTGTTATGCAGCTATTGTAATTTTATTGAAAATAAATGCATGCGATACTTAACATTGTTTAAAATATGAATGTGTATCATATGTATATAAAAGCTGCATACGGATAACTAAATACGTGATTAATAAGTTAGTTTTAACTTTCCTCCCCCCCCTCATACACTATTCAGATTCAAATGTTTGTCAAATCCCAGATTTCAGTTTTACCAACTCGAAACAATGCACGAATTACGTGTGACTCTGACATTTGTAGTTCTTTTACAGGAAGAAATACTTTTTAGGGTGTTACGATGCCCATTTTCCAAGATCCTGTACTGTTTCAAAAGCATTTCAAAAGTTTAAAAATGTGATGTAAAACATAACACAAATTCCCTTGTTTAACGCCCTGGTTTCCTGTAGTTTAATAGTATTGTCATGCCCCATCCAGTGTTTCTCCCTTCCTTGAAACCCCATTGTCAATAAAATAGGTTGACACCAATATTTTAAAACAGTGGATAGGAATTTCAGTACCTGTGCTTTGAATGGAAATATGAAGCCCGTCACAGTAAGTACTTCCCTGCACTATTTGCGAAGAGGCCTTCTTAACTGGATTTCTGTAGAAGTATGGTGGAAATAGTTTTCTCACTACTTATATTCTTCTTGTATTTTAACTGGTAGCAACTTAAAATAAGTTTGCATGAGATTAACTGAAATGTAAGGCATGTCAGTAACACTTAGAACCCCAAATGTGCATATTACTCAGTACCGCTGCGATTTCAGTTTAATATTGTAAGTCTTATTGAACTGTTCACACAAACCTGCATATAATTTACTTATGCCCAATCACAGAAATGCCTTTCAAATCATATTTTATTTAAGATGTACTGTTAAAAGTTGGGAGGTTCCTGATGAGGCTGTTACATGCTTTATAGTTTTCCAGTTTTGTTATCTGTCTTCATATTATGCCAAACATACAAAGCCGATTCTTAAATACATCCCTAATCTTAAATGCATCCCAATTTGTCAGTCAGATCCTATCGTTTAAGCAGTCTAAAGCAAATTTGTGCTTTTTAAGTAGTATATACATTTTTTCAGCATAGACTTAACAGTGTATAACACAATTCTTTTAAGAAAGTTAATCTGGGTAATATTTGTATGAAATGTAGCTTAAGTACAAATTAAATTCATTGAAATTTTTCTTAATATTCCCTAATCATAGATATGCTGATGTCTAACTGGTGGTGTGTTTTGGATAATATTTTTAGGATATTTGTACATGTGTATTTGTGTAGCTGTAAACAGCTTAACAGAGTAGATTTGAGAGGGAGTTTGTACAGCTAAACCCACATAGAGAAAATTGATTGCAGGCCAACTCCTTGGAGTATGGGCTAACTTCCAGTAGGCATTTATTTTGTGTACAAAGAATAGACAAGAAGCTGGGACCTAGGGCAGGATCAGTGATGTAATTTTATACCCAAAAGCTTGGAGTGCGTCTAGAGAACTGCTGATAGTGCATAAAAAGTACTTTTTTATGGTTGGTAAAAGGCTTCTTGTGTCTAATTGGGGCTATAGCCTCAGCAACAGGGGTAGTCAGAGTAATGTTATGGAAAATATGTTAACTGGTGGCTGGTGTGAATTTTTATTTTTTTTTAAAGCATGTGAGAAACAGCCAGTTTTAACTTGGCAGAGCAATGTCATTCCTCTGGGCATTTATTGAGTGTTAGATATAATAACCTTGACAAGATCTGCTCTCCCTGTGTTTGAGCAGACCAAAAAGGCAGAGAATTGCTGTACAGCCCCTGGAGGAGGAAATAAGATTTTCACACTCTTTGGGGTTGGTTTTGTTCAAATTAGCCTTTCATTGACAGTCTCATAATAATTAGTGGCATATATTAATCTTTTAGAAGCTGATATGTGTCTATTGGTGTTTTAGAAAGTGCATAAAAAGTTATCTAGTTATCTTGAAATTATAGTTGACCCATGGTCTGAGCTTTTCAACAGGTTTTTCTGTCCAGCCTTGCGGTTGTTTGCGTAATGATATAGTCTTTTAATAGGCTAAAAAACTGAGCTGCTATAAGTGTTCTAAGGCTTTGAAAAGGAAGCTGATTTTATTTATAAATAATTCTCTATGTAACAGTTTATAAATTGCAGCAATGAGCTTTTTGGAGAGTATGCTTTTTTTGGGCGGCCTAAAGCACTTTCTGTTTAATCTGTAACTTTGTCATATTCAAATCCATCGTGATGCTTTGACAGGTGGCAGCCACTCCTAGGTTCACTAACTGACAAATTGATGATCGTTGAAAGGGTACGCAAAACCTCAGGAAGGGAATTTGGTATCATGTTGAACTTTGTATGTATTAACATCTGGCCCTATTCAATGTGGATTCTTCTAGTGCAGAAGTAGATTGATTTCTTTATAGGCTGTAATGTATAGCCAGCATGGCCAGTTGTTTTCCTTTTTGAAGAATATTAGTAGGTTTCCAGTAAGATGAGGCCGAAAACATGTAGGGCTGGCAAAGAGAGATTGCATTGCATTGTCATAGTTTTATTAATGACCCTTTGTCTAAATCTTACTGGTCTTAGCTTGCCAAGTTATCTCTGGTTACAGTTTGACACACATCCTCACATGTGTAATATGCGTACCCCTTGAACTGTGTTATGTACATTTCAGCAGGGACAAGTTAAGTGATGGTTGAAGCACAACCCTTATTGACTGTTTTAAGTCCCTCTACCGTCTGCATCTTCCCCCTTCACTACCACCCAGCACCCCCCACAGTCAAAAGCAAAACACAATCTTTCATTGTAAATGTTCTATTACCCCAATATTGATTGATCTATGTCATTGCTTCCCATTTTCTGAACACGTCCAGGGTCTCATGAACCCTAATACCCTCCCCTGATGTGGATAAATACTGGGAATGTATGCAAAATATGAATGTAATGCACACCCCAGCTGTAAAATCATGAACATGAGTGCTGCAAACATCTTGCAATATTCACCAAAAGGAAACCATTCACAAATATGGTTGTAGTCTGCTTTTATATTGTAGGGTGCTTTCAATAAACCCATCCGCATATTCCCAGTTAAGTTACCCAGAATTACTAAAACAAAGATTGTACCCCTGAATAAATCTTAAAACATTTTATAACTTTTTTATAATGATGTATGAAGTTTGTCCCCAAAATATAATTTTGACCTGTGAAATTAGGCCACCCTGTTATTTCCATGAAAGACAATAAGTTCAGTTACTGTACATCCTGCAGCATAATGATACTTTATTAACATTATATCTGATTTGAGGAGAGTTTGTTGCTCAGGCTTAATATTGAAAGCAAATTGTTTCATAGGAACATGCCTCATCTAAGTGAATATATTGAAAAATAGTCAGAGGGGCTTCTGGGACATTTCGATTTTAAGCGTTATTTATATTTAAACACCTCAGACTCATACGTCAGGCAAGTAACCGTGAGAAAGTAAACGTGTGAAAACTTAAACCAATTGATAGAACAGAAGTACTTTTTCCACTGTTTATTTGCTGGTGTTTTGCTCAAGACACATGTGCAAGCCTACAAAACAGTGAGATTCT